GAGGCCCGAGGAGCCCCCGCCCCCCCCGAGACTCCCCGGGCACCGGGGGCGGGGGGTTTAACCCCTTCCCGGCCGCTCTGCAGCGGGGCACGGGCAGGCACAGAGGGACTGGTCCCTCCCCCTGAGTGTCCCCAGCCCTGTCCCACCGTGTCGGTCTGTCCCCCCCCTGAGTGTCCCCTCTGTCCCCAGCCCTGTCTCACCATGTCGCTCTGTCCCTCCCCTGAGTGTCCCCTCTGTCCCCAGCCCTGTCCCACCATGTCGGTCTGTCCCTCCCCCTGAGTGTCCCCTCTGTCCCCAGCCCTGTCCCACCATGTCGGTCTCCAAGCTGCAGGACACGGACGAGGTTTTTGGTGAGTTCCTGTGGGGGGGCCTGGGGTGCAGAACCCCCCGAGGGGTGCGGAGCCACCCGTGGGTCCCCACCCACCCTCAGTCTCCTCCCGTGTCTGGGCTTGGGGACAATGTGGCTTGGGGACACAGGGATGTGCGTGGGGAAGGGGACGTGGGGACACACGGGGGTGTGGGGGTGACAAAGACATGGGGACATGTCCAGGGCACACAGGAATGGGGGTCGGGGGACACAGGGGATGACAGGGACCTGGGGACACAACAGGGGACATGGCCCTGAGCCACTGCTCGGGTGGGGTTGGGGTACAGGGGTCAGAGCAGGGTGGGGATATTGGGGGGATCCCAGTGGGACCTGGGCAAAGCGTGTCCCCCCTGGGTGACAGGGACACTCTGTCCTCAGGGTCACCCACTCCTCTGTCCCCATGCTGGGCCATCTCTTTGAACACTTCTCTCTGTCCCCCTGTCCCCTGTCCTGCCCCACCGGGGTGCCCCATCCATGTCCCCAATGCTTCCCTCTCCTTGTGCCCCCTCCTGTCTTCCTGGGACCGCCCACCTGCCCTTTGACTCTCCTGCCCTGTCCCTCTGTCCCTCTGTCCCTCTCCACTGGGCTGGCCTTCCCTGTCTGTCCACCTGCCTCCGCTCCCTGTCCCCTCCTCCCTGCTCATCTTTCCCTCCATCTTCCATCTGCCCATCCTTCCATCCATGGATCCATCCATCATCCATCCATCCATCCATCCATCCATCCATCCATCCATCCACCCACCACCTCCACGTTCCCGCTCTCTCCCACCCCATGCCATCCCGCTGTCCGTGTGTCCGTCTGTCCGTCTCTCTCTGCCCCGGTCTCTCTTTCACTGCCAGATTTTACCGCTGTGGTTCCAGAGACGCCGCGCTTGGACAGCAGCCTGCACAAGGCCCGCGCCCGGCTCCTGGCCCGCGGCCGCCGCCAGCGGCCCTCGCGCTCCCGCCTGCGCGACAGCGCCAGCTCCACCGAGGGCGACGAGGGGCCCGAGGCCACGGTGAGACGGGGGACACTGGGCCTGGGGGGTCACACAGATTGGGGACAACAGGGATGGACTTGGGGGTCACCAGGGCTGGGGGGCTCACAGGATTGGGGACCTCAGGGATGGACTCAGGAGACACTGAGGGCTGGAGGGCTCACAGGATTGGGGACCTCAGGGATGGTCTTGGGGCACACCGGGGCTGGGGGTGGTCACAGGGATTGGGAACAACAGGGATGGACTCAGGTGACACCAGGGCTGGGGAGTCACATGGATTGGGGACACCAGGGATGGCCTTGGGGGACACCAGGGCTGGGGGGTCACAGGGACTGGGAACAACAGGGATGGACTCAGGGGACACCAGGGCTGAGGGGCTCACAGGATTGGGGACCTCAGGGATGGCCTTGGGGGACACTGGGCCTGGGGGGTCACAGGGACTGGGGACACCAGGGATGGCCTTGGGGGTCACCAGAGCTGGGGGGCTCACAGGATTGGGGACCTCAGGGATGGACTTAGGGACACCGAGGGCTGGAGGGCTCACAGGTATTGGGGACAACACCGATGGACTCAGGGGACACCAGGGCTGGGGGGTCACAGGGATTGGGAACCTCAGGGATGGCCTTGGGGAACACCGAGGGCTGAGGGTGTCACAGGGTCAGGGGACAACAGGAACCCCAGGGACAGGCCTGGGGGTCACCTAGGCTGCTCACAGGATTGGGGACCTCAGGGATGGCCTTGGGGGACACTGGGCCTGGGGGGTCACAGGGACTGGGGACACCAGGGATGGCCTTGGGGGTCACCAGAGCTGGGGGGCTCACAGGATTGGGGACCTCAGGGATGGACTTAGGGACACCGAGGGCTGGAGGGCTCACAGGTATTGGGGACAACACCGATGGACTCAGGGGACACCAGGGCTGGGGGGTCACAGGGATTGGGAACCTCAGGGATGGCCTTGGGGAACACCGAGGGCTGAGGGTGTCACAGGGTCAGGGGACAACAGGAACCCCAGGGACAGGCCTGGGGGTCACCTAGGCTGGGGTTGGGGGATGCCATGTCGGGGGGCAGGGAAGGTGGTCTGGGGGACAACCCCGGGGGGCTGCAGGGCTGTGACCCCCTGCCCATGCCCCCGCAGGGCACTGAGGGTGAGGGCAGCCCCCCGGCCCCCTCGCCCTTCTCCCGCACCGATGGCTTCTCCTTCGAGCCGGGGGTGGCACGGCCGGGCCTGGGGGAACCCCCGGCCCCCACGCCCCCCCTCAGCCGCTACCGGCCCCTCACCAACACCCCGTCCCAGGAGGGGCTCTCGGGTCCCCCTGCACCTCAGTCCAGCTCCGACAGCTCCCCCGGCTTTGCCCGCCGCGACCCCCGGCCCCGGCAGCACAGCGAAGGTGAGACCCCCCCCAGAGCCCCCTGGGGACGCCTGGAGGGGACAGCGGGTGACAGCCCGGTGCCACCCCTGCAGATGACAGCCGGGACATGAGCCCCCCCTCGCCCGCCAGCCCGACTGTGGGGCTCGATAAGAAAACACGGAGGAAGTTCTTGGATTTGGGGTGAGAGCTCGCCCTGGGCAGGGGGGAGGGACGGGAGGGGACAAGGAGAGGGAGGAAGGGGGTCCTGGTGCCTGACCCTTCAGGTCACCACCCCTGTCCCCAGGGTGACCCTGCGCCGGGCATCCTCTGGGAAGAGCCGCAAGGAGAAGAGCAGCAACCGCCTGTCCATGGGCAGCAGGTGAGGGACTGCCCCCAGGACAGGCGGACAGCCTAGGGACAGACTGGGGACAGCCTGGGGACAGCCTCGGGACACCTCCTGACACTGCACTGTCCCCAGGGAGGCGGCTGAGGGGCCCGGCCGCCCCTCGGGGTCCCCGTTCCTGCCCTTCTCGTGGTTCTCGGACAGCGCCAGGGGCTCCGGCTCGCCCGGCCCCGCGTCCCCCGCGGGCTCCCCCCGGCACGAGGGGCTCAGCCCCGCCAAATCCGCCTCGCAGGTGAGCGCCCGGCCTGGGGACGGGCCTGGGCACCCCTGGGCTCTAAGAGAGGAGGTGACACCAGCTCTGGGGACGGGGGACAATGCCCCATAGGGTCAGGTAACAGCAGGGAGAGGACTCGAAGCCCCCCAGGATCCGGGTGGCTTTGTGGGGGTGACAAAGCCCTGTAGAGTCAGGACAGGTACTGGGGGTGTCCAAAGGCCTAGAGGGGTCTGGCAGCCCAACTGGGGGGCTGCAGGGGGTCGCTGGGGGCTGTGGGGTGGCTCTGGGGGTCACTGGGGACTGTGGAGTGGCTCTGGGGATCACTGGGGTGGCTCCGGGGGTCGCTGGGGGTCACTGGGGTGGCTCTGGAGGTCGCTGGGGGTCCAGCCCTGCCCCTCCCTCTGCCCAGGACTCTGAGCTGAGCGAGGATTCGCCGCCGTCCAGCGCCAGCCCCCGCCTGCCCGGCCCCCCCAAGTGCTCGTACCCCTACCACACCCTGTCCCAGTCCTCGGACGAGGTGAGAGCGGCGCGGGGGGCGCGGGGCCGGGGGTGTCACCCCCCCAGGTGGCCCGGGAACCCCCGGCTGACCCCCGTGCGCAGCTGCTGGAGGAGCCGGCGGGCGCGGCCGAGGGCTGGACGTGCGGCCAGGTGGGGCAGTGGCTGCAGAGCCTGGGCCTGGAGCGCTACGTGCGGGAATTCGCGGAGCGCGGCGTGGACGGGCCCCGCCTGCTGCTCCTCGACGGGGCCAAGCTCAAGGTGCGGGGCCGGGGGGGGCTCCAGGGACCCCTAAAGATGGAGGGCGAGAGGTGCTGGGTGCTCCAAGGGGGGATTCCGTGGGGCGGGAAGGTCTGGGATGGGTCGGGGTACCCCAATTCCAGAGGACAGGAGGTCTGGGATGTGTTCGGGATACCCCAATTCCACGGGGCAGGAAGGTCTGGGAGGGCTCTGGTTATCCCATTTCCATGGGGCAGGAAGGTCTGGGATGTGTTCGGGATACCCCAATTCCACGGGGCAGGAAGGTCTGGGAGGGTTCAGGGTGCCCCAATTCCAGAGGACAGGAGGTCTTGGATGGGTTGGGGGTTTCCATGGGGCAGGAAGGTCTGGGAAGGCTCGGGGTACCCCAATTCCATGGGGTGGGAAGGGCTGGGAGGGTTCAGGGTGCCCCAATTCCATGGGGCAGGAGGTCTGGGAGGGTTCAGGGTGCCCCAATTCCATGGGGCAGGAAGGTCTTGGATGGGTTCGGGCTGCCCCAATGGGGGTTTCCATGGGGCAGGAAGGTCTCGGAAGGCTCGGGGTGCCCCAATTCCATGGGGCAGAAAGGTCTTGGATGGGTTGGGGGTTTCCATGGGGCAGGAAGGTCTGGGAAGGCTCGGGGTACCCCAATTCCATGGGGTGGGAAGGGCTGGGATGGATTGGGGTGCCCCAGTGGGGGATTCCCTGGGTCAGGAACGTCTGGGAGGATTGTGGGTACCCCAAATGGGGATTCCATGGGGCAGGAAGATCTGTGAGGGTTCGGGATACCCCAATTCCATGGGGCAGGAAGGTCTGGGAGGGTTCAGCCTCAAAGGGGGTTTCCATGGGCGGTTCTGGGACCCCCAAGGCTGTCAGGGGGCTGACCCCGGGGCAGGGGGCGCGGGGGGGTGCGTGGCCAGCCCGCGGTGCCGCAGGCGCTGGGCGTGGGCAGCTCCCAGGACCGTGCGGTGCTCAAGCGGCGGCTGAAGGAGCTGAGCCTGGCGGCCGAGCGGGAGCGCAAGGCCCGCGACAAGGCGGAGAAACAGCGCGAGAAGCAGAAGAAGAAGGACCAGGAGCAGCGGAGGAGCTGAAGGGGGGGGTCCCAGCACCCCCTTCCCCACTCACACCCCCCCGGGACGCACCCCCGGGGACACGGGGCACGGCCAAGGGACAGCGGCTCCAGCCGCCCCCTCCCCGCCCGGCCCGGCCCCCCCGGGCCCCTTTCCGGAGGGCACTTGGGCACCCCCAGCCCGTCCTGCCACCCTCACCTGTCACCACCCCACCCCGCACCGCTGGCACAGGAGGGGACAGGGCATGGCCCGACCCCCTCCACACACGGGCACCCCCAAATCGGGGGCAGGGAGTGAACCCCGCCCCCCCCCACAGCCCCAAACGCGGCCCCCCCGAGGCCACCCCAGGAAATAAAAGGGTATCAAGGGCCAGTGCAGAGCTGAGTGACCGGTGTCACCTGGCTGGGGGGCACACAGCAGCTCCCCAGGTGCCACCACGGGCCTCAGCCCCCTCCCAAGGCTGGAGGGGTAAACTGAGGCACCAGGACCCCAAACCACCACGGGGGGGCGGTCAACATCCAATTTATTGACGGTGGGGAGGGGTCAGGGGGGAATTTGGGGAAGGGGAGGGTTGAGCAGGTCACAGCAAGTGGGGGGGTGGGGACAGCTCAGTAGTGCAACATCAGGGGGGAGCAGGGACAGGAACCTGGGGAGGGAGGGGGGGCTCAGGTGCCCCCACCCCATCAGGGCTGTGGGTGCTGGGAAGTGCTACTGGTCCTACTGGGACAGAACCAGTCCCTTACTGGGATGGGGACACCCCTGGGGCGGGTGGGGACTTTGGGGGGGACGGTGAGGGAACAACAGGCGCTGCTCCAACCCCCCCAGCTCTGTCCCTAAGCGCCACCAAGGCGGGGACACCGGGACACGTCCCCATCCCACACTTCCCAAGGAACCCAAAGAACCGGAATGCCAAACACCCCCCGGGGCACTCGGGGACACCTCGTGGCGGGGCCTGAGGGGTCCCGGTGGCCGGGGGGCCCGGGGGGGCTCAGGGCACGCGGTAGGTGGAGGTGTTCTTGGGCTCGGTGCTGGGCACGCACCAGTCCCCCGCCTCCTGGCTGGCCTGGTAGTGCCGCCACGCCGACTTGTTGTACACGGGCAGCCGCTCCACCGAGTCCGTGGACAGCGCCTGGGGGGCACGGGGGGCTCAGCGAGGGTCCTGAGACCCCCCCCAAGGCGGCTCTGGGGACAGGTACCCACCTTCAGGTAGATGACGGCGTCGGTGCCGAAGCCCTCCATGGAGAAGAGCTGCAGGTCCCCCTGGAAGTACTTGGCATAGAGGCGGGAGATGGGCAGCCCGTAGCCAAAGCCGGCCTGGGGGGGCACGGAATTGGGGTGGGGGGGTCCCCAGGGCTGGGGGGGGACCCTCAGGGCACCCCCGGCCTCCCCACAGTGCCCCAAGAAGCGCCAGGAGTGTCCCTGACACTGCCAGCGGTCACGGTGGCACCGTCAAAGGGCTCCAGAATGGCCACAGGGGCACCCTGCCACCCCAAAGTGTCCCCATGCCACCCCAAAGTGTCCTCATGCCACCATAAAGGGTCCCCCTGTCACTCCGAAGTGTCCCCATGCCACCATAAAGGGTGTCCCTGTTACCCCAAAGTGTCCCCATGCCACCCTAAACCATGCCACCCCAAAGTGTCCCCATGCCACCCCAAAGTGTCCCTATCCCACTATAAAGTGTCCCCATGCCACCCCAAAGTGTCCTCATGCCACCATAAAGGGTCCCCCTGTCACTCCGAAGTGTCCCCATGCCACCATAAAGGATCCCCATGCCACCATAAAGTGTCCCCATGCCACCCTAAAGGGTCCCACTGTAGTCCCTCAGTGCCCCATGCCAACCCAAAGTGTCCCCATGCCACCATAAAGGGTGTCCTGTCACTGCAAAGGGTCCCCACATCACACCCAAGTGTCCCTGTGCCACTTCCAAGCACTCCCACACCACCAAATGTCCCCATGCCAGCCTAAACTGGGGACACCCCTGGGGCGGGTGGGGACTTTGGGGGGGACGGTGAGGGAACAACAGGCGCTGCTCCAACCCCCCCAGCTCCGTCCCTAAGCGCCACCAAGGCGGGGACACCGGGACACGCCCCCATCCCACACTTCCCAAGGAACCCAAAGAACCGGAATGCCAAACACCCCCCGGGGCACTCGGGGACACCTCGTGGCGGGGGCTGAGGGGTCCCGGTGGCCGGGGGGGCCCGGGGGGGCTCAGGGCACGCGGTAGGTGGAGGTGTTCTTGGGCTCGGTGCTGGGCACGCACCAGTCCCCCGCCTCCTGGCTGGCCTGGTAGTGCCGCCACGCCGACTTGTTGTACACGGGCAGCCGCTCCACCGAGTCCGTGGACAGCGCCTGGGGGGCACGGGGGGCTCAGCGAGGGTCCTGAGACCCCCCCCAAGGCGGCTCTGGGGACAGGTACCCACCTTCAGGTAGATGACGGCGTCGGTGCCGAAGCCCTCCATGGAGAAGAGCTGCAGGTCCCCCTGGAAGTACTTGGCATAGAGGCGGGAGATGGGCAGTCCGTAGCCAAAGCCGGCCTGGGGGGGCACGGAATTGGGGTGGGGGGGTCCCCAGGGCTGGGGGGGGACCCTCAGGGCACCCCCGGCCTCCCCACAGTGCCCCAAGAAGCGCCAGGAGTGTCCCTGACACTGCCAGCGGTCACGGTGGCACCGTCAAAGGGCTCCGGAATGGCCACAGGGGCACCCTGCCACCCCAAAGTGTCCCCATGCCACCCCAAAGTGTCCCCATCCCACCATAAAGGATCCCCATGCCACCCCAAAGTGTCCCCATGCCACCATAAAGGGTCTCTATGCCACCCTAAAGGGTCTCACTGTAGCCTCTCAGTGCCCCATGCCAACCCAAAGTGTCCCCATGCCACCATAAAGGGTGTCCCTGTTACCCCAAGGGTCCCCACATCACACCCAAGTGTCCCTGTGCCACTTCCAAGCACTCCCACACCACCAAATGTCCCCATGCCAGCCTAAACGTCCCCAGAAGGTCCCAGGCCAAGCCCAAACCTCCCAGTGCCACTCCAGCCACCCCCAAACCTCCCCATGCCACCCTCACAGCACCCCCTGCCACTCCAGGTCCCCAAACGACCCCCAAACCTCCCCAAGCCACTCCAGCCCCCCTCAAAAGCTCCCAGCCCCCCTCAGCTGCAGCCCCCCCCTCCCTGTCCCACTCCCCACGAGGGTCCCCAGCCCCTGGGGGGGGTCACGTACCAGGGGGGCCCCCCCGGAGCCCAGCTGGGGGGTGGGGGCTGTCGAGTACATGTAGCTGAAGAGCCGCTCGATCTTCCTCAGGGGCACCCCCATGCCCCTGTCACTCATCTGGGGACACCAGAGCAGGTGACAATGCTGCTCCTGTCCCCCCTCCCCACATCCCCCCTCCCCAGGGTGGGCTGGGGTCCCTCACCCGGATGGACAGGTCCTCCTGGCCCAGGGCCACCATCACCCTGATGGCCGGCAGCCGGGGGCTGTTCTCGTGGCTCTCCACCGTGGCTCTCATGGCATTCTGGGGACACAGAGACACGGGGGGGTCAGGGGGTCCCCCACAGCCCCCCGAGACCCCCCCAAAGGGCTGGGCTACCTTGAAGAGCTCGAAGAGCATGTGGTACAGGTGGGATGGGACGTAGACGATGCTCACGGGCTGCTCAGCATTGCAGGCTGGAGGGGACACTGGCATTGGTGGGGACAATCCTGACCCTAAACCTGCCCCAGGCCTGGAAGGGTCACCCCCCACCACAGGGACCCCCACACCTAGATAAGCCAAATATCCCCTGTCACAGGGACCCCAACCCTAAAGGAGCTGAGAACCCCCTGAAACAGGGACCCCCAACCCAGAACAAGCCACACAAAAATTCCCCTGCCCCAGGGTCCCCACCCTAAAGGAGCCACCTGAGAATCCCCAACCCCAAAGGAGCCACCCACGATCCCCCTGCCTGGGCCCCCCGTGTCCCCTCAGCCCCTTGTCCCCTCAATCCACTGTCCCCTCACTGCCACTGTCCGCTCACCTCTGCTGTCCCCTCAGCCCCACTGTCCCCTCAGCCCCGCTGTCCCCTCAGCCCTGCTGTCCCCTCACCCCTGCTGTCCCCTCAGCCCTGTTGTCCCCTCAGCCCTGCTGTCCCCTCAATCCACTGTCCCCTCACTGCCACTGTCCGCTCACCTCTGCTGTCCCCTCAGCCCTGCTGTCCCCTCAGCCCCGCTGTCCGCTCACCTCTGCTGTCCCCTCAGCCCCACTGTCCCCTCAACCCTGCTGTCCCCTCAGCCCTGCTGTCCCCTCACCCCTGCTGTCCCCTCAGCCCTGTTGTCCCCTCAGCCCTGCTGTCCCCTCAATCCACTGTCCCCTCACCCCCCCCTGTCCCCTCAGCCCTGTTGTCCCCTCACCCCTGCTGTCCCCTCACCCGCGCTGTCCCCTCAGCCCTGTTGTCCCCTCACCCCTGCTGTCCCCTCACTGCCGCTGTCCCCTCACCCCTGCTGTCCCCTCAGCCCCATTGTCCCCTCAGCCCCGCTGTCCCCTCAGCCCCGCTGTCCCCTCACCGTTGACCTCCTCGATCTCCAGCTCAGGCGAGGCCATGTAGTATTTGTCACACAGCAGCTTGGCCATGTTGTAGGCGTCTGACAAAGGAGGGGACAGAGGGCTCAGCACCCCCAGGACCAACAGGGGCAGCCTTTGGGGTCCCCCACCCCCAAACATTCCCCATTCCTGAGGACGTTCCTGGTGTGTCCTGCACAGCTCAGGGGACAGTTTGGCTGAGGCCACCCCAAACGTGTGACACGAGTGGTGCCAGGGGGACTTCCAAGCAACCCCCACCCCCCGAAGTGCCCCTGCTGTGGGGGTGGGACCCCAGAGCCCACCAACCTCTCACCACGTTGGCCACGTTGCAGTGGGGGTCGATGCTCCCGATGTGTTTGGGGTGCGCGGGGTTGGTGCTGCCATCGAAGAGCAGGGCTGGGGAGGGGACAAAGAGCTGGGGGCACCCCAGGGACACCCCCAGGAACACCCAGGGACACCCCCAGGGCACCCTGGGGCTGTGGGGGGAAACATTTGATACCAGGGAGACGCCCAAGATAGGATCCCTGGGATTAGTGGGGACTCTCAGGACAGACCCCTGTGGCTGGGGGGACATGGGGGGACACCCTGGTGATGATGGAGACCCTCAGGACAGACCCCTGGGATTAGGAGAGGACCCTTGGGGCAGGGAGAACCTTGAGGAGCTCCTGGGGCTGGAAGGACCCCTGGGACAGACCCCTGGGGTTGGTGGGGACCCTTGGGACAGACCCCTAGGGTTAGGAGAGGACCATTGGGACAGACCACTGGGGTGGGTGGGGACCCTCAGGACAGACCCCTGGGGTGGGTGGGGACC